TTTTCCATCCCCGTCAATATGCTCTACTTCCTCCCCTTATTAGCTATGAGTTTCTGATTTATTGCATCATTTATTCATCTGTCGAGTCAATTGCTTATTGTCTCACTCTGCTAAAAGGTAAGCTCCATCAGGGCACATGGTTTTTTTTTTCTTCCTCATATTAACTCCATTTTTATAATAGTACCTAATTTGTGCAACCCATTCAAAAATACTTATTGAATTAAATCAATTGCTTCTCAACCTTCCTAATGCTGTGACCTTTTAATACAGTTCCTCATGTTGTGGTGACCCATGACCATAAAATTATTTTCATTGCTACTTCGCAACTGTAATTTTGCTACTGAGTCGTAATGTAAACATCTGCTATGCAGGATATCTGATAGGCTACCCCTATGAAAGGGTTGTTTCACTCCTAAAGGGGTTGAGACCCACAGGTTGAGAACTACTGAACTAACTAAGAGAACACATAGCTACTATGGTCCCCAGCCTTGACCAGGACAAGTTAACCTGTTTCTGTACACTCAACGGTACCTCAGTTCTTTACCCTTTTAGACACTGAGTTAGGGCGGTCTGAGCAAATGGCTCACGCTGAAGTGGAGACAGTGGAATTCTCTAGGCTGGATCACCAAGTCCCTTGGGAGGATAATGCAAGGCCACGTGGCCGGGTTAGATTTCCGTGCTCACCAGAAAACACTCAGGTTCTTGATGGCAGTCTTCTTGGGGAGAATCGTTACACAAGCGTGATAGTATGTGAGATTTAGGGGAAGCTGTACTTCTGCTGGGGGTATGTGTGCACATGCAAAGCCACCATCAAATCTGTCCAGCAGGCTGGAAGAAAGGCTAGAGAAAGGCTCCCTGCAACCGGAAGTACTAGGGAACACTGCAGCCCTCAAGAACTCATTGTTTCAAAGAAACTCATGTTTCCTTTGCTTTTCTAACTATGCCCCTTAATATTGTAAAAATCATGAATTTGGGTTTTATATTTATTTATTTATTTATTTTGAAGAAGGCTTTCTTATTTTATTTATTTATTTATTATATATACAGTGTTTTGTCTATCTGTATGCTTGCTGGCCAGAAGAGGGCACCTGATCTCATTACAGATGGCTGTGAGCCACCATGTGGTTGCTGGGAATTGAACTCAGGACCTCTGGAAGAGCAGTCAGTGATCTTAACCTCTGAGCCACCTCTCCAGCCCTGAATTTGGGTTTTAAAATTATATTTTTGGAGCTGGGCGGTGGTGGCACACGCCTTTAATCCCAGCACTCGGGAGGCAGAGGCAGGCGGATTTCTGTGAGTTCGAGGCCAGCCTGGTCTACAAAGGGAGTTCCAGGACAGGCTCCAAAGCTACAGAGAAACCCTGTCTCGAAAAACCAAAAAAAAAAAATATATATTTTTGGGTTTGAGAGATGGATCAGCAGTTAGGATTGTGTACTGGTCTTGCAGAGGACTCAAATTCTGTCCCAGCACCCACATTATAGTGCCTCAAACTTCCTGAAACTCCAGCTTCATGGTGGATCTAATGGCTCTGGCCTTCATTGTAACTGTATTCACATGCGCATTCCTCCAAATACACACCCCTGCACACATGCACACACACGCGTGCTCACACACACAATATAATCACATTTATTTATTTATTTATTTCATGTGGTTCCCCCTGAGGGATGTGTGGGCACATGAATGCCATGCACGCATGTGGAAGTCGGAGGACAACTTTATGGACGTTGGTTTTCTCATTATGTGGGTCTCAGGACAAACTCGGGTCATCCGGTTTGGTGGGTGGCAAGTGTCTTTACCCACACTTTGCTAGCTTTGATACATCTGTTGTAAAGACCACTTTCTAGTTAGGCGGTGGTGGCACACGCCTTTAATCCCAGCACTTGGGAGGCAGAGGCAGGCGAATCTCTTGAGTTTCTGGCTTGGCCTACAGAGTAAGTTCCAAGACAACCAGGGCTACACAGTGAAACCCTGTCTCAAGAAGCCAAAAGAAACAGCAAACAAAAAGCTCACTTTCTTAAAAGTAAATTTAAAAGGGAATTCTCATTTATATGTTTAAATTTGCATCAAAATGAGAAACTCAGAATTTGTCAACAGCTGGGAGAAGATACTGGTCAGAATTTTCCAATTGATGTTTGATTTATTTTCTATTCTGGAAGCCAAAATGATGTCCCACCAAATGTAAAATAATTGTTCACTTTGATTATGTAAGTGATTTACTAACACAGGCTAATTTACTAATAATTGCTGAATAATTATATGGTGTCAAAGCTGAATCTTCTCTGTGAACCAATACAATGTCAAACAATGGATAATTTTGCCTCTTGTTTAAAGCACAGTTAGAGTGGCAAGCCCTGTTTCTCCTTGCTTCTCAACAGCTATTTGTCATAATTGCTCCCATTGCAAGATGGAGGCACCTCAGCTCTGGCTTGAGATCCTTGCAAACAGGGTGTCACTGGGGTTTCAGCAACAGGGAGTATGTCTGGAATGAGGGAATTTATCATGGGAGGGGTCATCTTCACATTTATGGGAGATGAAGAAGTGTAAAAGAGGAGTCGAAGGACTGGAGACCACATAGGTAAGGGAGTCCAAACTGGCTGGGAAATCAGACACCTGCACACATCCTGCTGCTATCGAGGGGCCAGTGAAGGGACCAGGGGCCACTGCAGACATCCCCAGAAAGCTTGGGCATCCTGTGACTGCCACCTCTGGTGAGTCTCTATGAAGTCTGTTAGCTGGCTTGTGATCCTTCCATGGACCACACCCTGAAAGGGGAGGAGCGAGGGCAGAAACTCTCATCCATCTTTTTAATCCATTGCAAACGGCATTAATCAATGATGACTTGAGATGTAGTGTCCATTGTGTTGTTTTTGCCTCTGAAATATCCGACAGCCCTATACTTCTGCCCATATTGACAAGTAGACTTGTAAGCACCCAGGAAAAGAGATCTGTCACTTGAAGAACAGTTCAGCCCAAATACAGCATTCTGACGTCAAAGCATGGGATTTCTTTCTCCGGCACACTCCAAAAGGGCCAGATAATTCACTAGCCAAACAGCTGGGCCAGTCTCAGCTTCAAGGCTCTCTTCCGGATTTCCTCACACACGAGGCCTAGGGGTTGTATCTTTCAGGGAAGCCTTAGCAAGCACATCAGCCTTCAAGCAAACCCAAGCCAAAATAGCACGCAATAAAAGCCTTCAATGGAAGTGGACGTGTGAGCTGGATGACCGATGGTGGGGATGGTGTTGATTCACAGAGGCTCGGTTCATTTGCATGTAATGGAATTACAGGATTAATAGCACTGGGGGTTTAAGAACATCCTTATCCTTCTTCACAGAAAACGTCCCTCTCTGAAACAAATAAAGGGGTGGATTCCGGGAGTAGAGGTCCTTTTAGCTAATGTCCGACTTGTGGCCTAAGCTCCAGTGAGAATATACATGTAAAGAAAGTGCTACTCCCTGACACTTTCCAGAGCAAGAGCACTGCCATGGCTGGAGAATGGTGAAAAACCCGTTCCTCATAGGTGCACATCTCTGCCAGTCTGAACTTTGTAAATACTGGGATCCACAGAGTGGAAGAAACTGCCTTGAAATGCGGCTCTGTGCACATCCAGCCCGCTTTAACCCACCTGTTGTCCGAGATGGATGGGGTAGTGCCGTGACAGCTTATTTGACCATTAGTCAGCAGGACAGGCAGGAGACGTTTCTGATGGATAAAATTTGTTTGCCCAAATAATGCAATGGAAGAGGATGGCAAACACGCATGCTTTCTGATGAGTAACTGTAAGGTGTGGGTTTTGGTAACTCCCCAAGTCCCCTGATAGTGTATGATTTGCCGATAGGGGTTATGGGAACATTTTTGAGAGGACATCGTTAGCTGAAGACTGGGAGTTCTCTTGTCTCCCATGCTCTGGTATTTTTCGTGTATTATGCCTGTGTCTGCGTGTGAAAGCTGTTTGAATAGAGTTTCGGCCACTGGGACTGGTGGAAAAGGGGGCTATGTTGGAGTAAAGTTTGGCAACCTAATGGCTCCCTTGGGGAGACTGTCTCCACACGGAGGAAACTCGGGGGGAGACTGCCATGTGTCACAAGGTCCAGCATTTGTTATTTTATGGCAGTTGTTACTCAAGATGGAAAAAGTTAATCCCAAAAATGAGACTGGAGATACAAGAGCAATTATCTGTAGACAAGAGTGCACATAGCTACATTGTATCAGCACAACTGGGAAATGCCATCACTACTATCCCAGTAGGGGGCAAGATCTTCAGGGCACCATCCCCCTTTAAAGGGCTTTCCCTCTCCTGCCCCATCCAATTCAGAACAGCTAGAGCCTCTAATAGTCCCCGTTTGGCCCAGTTCTCTGGCTTTGTCCCCTTGAAGTTGTTGATGACAGAAATGTCTTGATACGGGAACATTCTTCAATTATCCCTTTACAGAAGAAACGTCTGTGCAAATATTTAAACTACCTCGTCCCTCCGTGCAAATTTGCCTTTAGATCAATCTGGTCTTGGACGCATGCCAGGAATAGTTTAAGCATGGAAGTTTCTAGGTGGGAAGGGTGTACTGCACCGACACTGCGGGGCTTTGCCAGGGGCTTGGAGCCTTTGGTCCTTCCTTCCACACACTCCGATTGTCCCTCTGGGACTGGGAGTTCGCGGGACAGTCGGCACATAGTGTTTGTTTATAGAACGAGGCCTCAGAAGGGCGCCGGGGGCCAGAGGCTTGGTCTTACTGAGCCGAGGCCGCCAGGCTGCGGTTCCCGGGTGAAGCCCTTTCCCACCGCTCCCTGGCCTGAATGCCGCAGTCTTTCCCGGCCTCTCCTCTCCAGCCCAGGACTCGCACCACTGCTGGACTGGACTCGCGGGAGGATCGCCCGTCCTGAGCAGGTTCTGCCGGGTGACTAATCTCTGTACCCCTCGGGTTCACGACGACGCCTGCCCAGGACCAGACAGACACTGGAGCCCGCCAGGAGCGGGTGCGGTGGGCACGCTGCTGGACAACCCCGGGCCCGCGGGATCGATCTGGGCTGGCGGGTGAACAGGAGCCGGGGGGCGGGGAGCCCGGAGCGCCGCCCCGCCAGCGCGCCCCGCCCGTGGGAGAGGAGGGGCTGCGGCGCGGAGGACCACTGGAGGCGCCGCGCGGCCGCCGCTGTCCGCTCTGGAGACCGCAGCTCGGCGCAGGCGGCGCCGGTCCCTGCGCCTCCGGAGCCTCCGCCAGCCAGCGCGCCGAGCGGATAGCACGGGCCATCTCCCACGGCGACCTTCCGCTCGCCCTGCAGGTAAGCGTCTCTCGGCCTCGGGGTGGATACCCCGCGCCAGCCGCGCGACCCAGGGGCATTGTGCGCGTCCGGAGGGCCGAGGACCCTGGCGATAAGCTGGTGGGCAGCCGCAGCCCCAGGCCCCCGGAGACATCGCGGACCCCAGAGGCTCCCAAGCTGGGTAGCGCGGAAGCAGAGGAGGCCGAATAGGTCCCCGGTGCGGCCAGAGTGGGAGGGGGTACGGTGTCACTGTCCCTGCTCGCCGCCCGCCCTCCGTTCCCGCGGCTGCCCGGGAATTCGGCTTCCTGGTACACACGCATCCTCCCCGCCCCCCGCGCGCATCTCTGCACCCCCTGTGCCCGCACCCTCAGGCCGGCTGGCTGGGAATGGAAGTAGGGGCCGGGAGGACTGATGTAATTGTCGGCGGAGAACCGAACCGGTGCGGGTGAGAGTGCCCGCGCCCGCGCGAGCTGACGCCTACGTTGCACCTTTCAGGGAATCCGGGGAGCCGCGGGCAGTGGCCGGGCAAGTTGTGCAGCGGGTTTGGTTGTGCGCGTGCACTGCGGACTGCCCTCGTGGGCGCTCCTGGCTAACCCAGGCTAGCGTCCCTGCAGCCCTCCCTGCAGCCTGCGTCCACGCTCACGGCCCTAGCTACCTTCTCCGGTTCAGATCGGGACAGGGTTTGCATTGCAGGCAGGACGTGCTTCCCCTGCGTCGAGCTTGGAGCTGCCCGCAAATCGAGTCGCCGGGGACGCTTGGGGGAGGAGGAATGGGAAACCTGGGGAGGAAGCTGCGGAGAACTAATGGCACCCGCAGATTTATAAAAACCTCTTCTGTCTGCATACGCACCGCAAGCCACGTTTTAAGCTGCTTTGGAAAGTTATGGGCAGATACTGATTTTGTTTCGATTCTGTGATCTATCTACCTGGAAGGTTGGTGAAACTAGAGACCTAAAGCTGGGGGGAAGCATTACATAATGGACATGAAGCAAATGACAGAAACTAAGCGGATTTACCCGTTTGCCAAATTATTTCTCGCTACTGGACAGAAAGTCCTATAAGGCTTTTTGAAAATAATTTCCATTTTGGAGTCATTGGGCAAGATTTAATAAATCATACATTATATTTGATTGCAGTTTCTCCTGATTAACAAAATATATTTTGAACATCTTTTCTTAAATTGAAAAATTGCGTATTGATTGGTAGCTATGATACAGAGTTAAGAAATGTATTCTTCAAAGGAAATTAAATTTTTCACTTTAAGACTATTAAACTTTGCTTTCCTCTATTTTAGTTTTAAATATATATCTATAGATTTCCCTTCTGTGCCCCCATCCCCCTTTGCTTTGAGGCATTTCCGCAGCTTTGGATACTGCGAGTTCACGATGTTGATATTCCTATCTAGTGTTACAGCATTGCAGGTGCAAAGACCAATAATAAATGAATCAGAAGACCTCGCGGTAACTCTGGGAACGAGCAGGTTCCCAAGGTCGAAGGGAAGATGCTGTGTAACTCAGCTATAATCACCTACAGAGAATGTGCATGCCTCATTGGGTTACAAGGAAGGCCCTGATTGGTGGAATTATTCCTGGTATTGACTTCCTGATTTAGTATATTTTACCCAAGTAAATATTTTTTAAAGTTATCAGGATATGTTGAAATGTAAAACGTTTACTTTTTACCAACCCTAAAACCTCTTGCTTTTGGCCAGATTTTCAGTTGTTGTGATGGGAACTTATACATTCAGTGGCTGGATTGCTTTTGGGGAGACTGCTTTTTTAAATGGTGATGAGTTATCAGTTGTATCTTGCTTTTAGTATCTTGTAGTTCTGTTGGATTCCACAAGATCGTGTAACAGATGTTGTCTTATCTCTAATTGAACCTCATATGAATTTTACTCTTCCTTATGTTAATATTACTCCAGTAAGAAACAGAGTTTGCCGGGCGGTGGTGGCAGCGGCAGCAGTGCACGCCTTTAATCCCAGCACTCTGTGAGTTCGAGGCCAGCCTGGTCTGCAGAGCGAGTTCCAGAACAGCCAAGGTTACACAGAGAAACCCTGTCTCCCCCCACCTCCACCCCCCGCCCAAAACAAGTCTGTCCAAGAAGAAATGTTGTTGGTGAGAAGTTTGTTGGAGTGCTATCGATGACTCACTTGAAACTAAAGTGGACGAAAGTTTAATGTGCTCACTCATGAAGTTATGAAGACTAGGGAGATTTCGTTTTATTACGCTGCTTGGTTAACTAGGATCCTGTGATCATTCAGTTGATAATTTCTCAGCAAGTCCTATTCTGTTGAAGACACTAGTCTGCGTTCTGTGGGAGATATAAAGGATTCCCCTGCCCTCATGAATAATTTTTTTTTTTGTTTACTGAAAGAAGAAATTTTTTTTGTTGTTTCCTGAAAAGGTTAAGTAATATACTTTAAAGTCCTGGACAAAAGAGTTTTCTGTTTCTGTTTTTGTCTTTTTGAATTCGCTCCCTTGACTCTGTGTCGCCGTGCTGTGTGTAGCTAATTGACTCTCACTGCTGTGCAATATTCCATCTGTGCCATGTAACTGTGTTTGTCTGATCTGTAGCCAGTGGCCCCTTTCTTTTGCATTAAAAAAAATTGCACTATTTCTCCTGAGGTATGCGTGTAAATGTTTCTCCTGGGCAGATGCCAAGGGATAGGATTGCTGGGTTGTAGACTGGTGAGTGTCTGAATTCCTAAATATCATCATATTGTATCCCAAGACTGCTGTGCTAGCTTACCTGGGGAAGTCAGGGAGACAAGCTAATGGATAAGCAACTGCAAAAACAAACAACAACAAAGCCAACCAACCAAAAACATAAAAAAAACAAACCAAGAAACAACAACAACAACAAAAAAAAACAAAACAGTTTTTACATACATATTCTGACACACACTGTTTTCTTTTCTTTTCTTTCTTTTTAAAGAAAAGCAGTGATGAACATTAAGCTTCCTCCCAAGCCTAATGTTCATCACTGGTTCAGCGGGTAAAGGCCTGTTGCAAATCTGATGACCTGAATTTTATCTACAGCATCCACGTGGAAGGAAAAGAACTGCTCCCATAGGATGGCCTTTGACCTCTCTACTCAAGCTGTGCCGCACGTGCCTATAAACAGATGAACAAACAATTAAAATGTTTAGAAAGGGGTGTGGTTGTCTTTTAGGAGGATCAGGGAGGTGACTACAGGCTACACACAGTGATCTTACGTAGGTATGGTGATGAATTCATACAAAATCATTATATTTTTAAAAGGCAAAGCAGAGGATCTTGGAAGAACCGATGATGGTATTTTAAAATTCTCAGGGAAAAGAAAACAAGGTTAGTAGAGCTGTCACACAGCAGGCTCCTGTGTCAAGGCCCAGATGTCACTTGAAGGACAAGAAGCTGTCCCTTTGTATAAGCACGAATTGCCAAGAGTTGGCGTAGGACATTGGCGGGAAGCATGGGCAGGAAGTGGTCCCACTGGGAAGAGGACCATGTAGAACTATGGAGATGTATGGCCATGGAGGAGGGAGACGTTGACAGTTTTCCAATAGTGAAATACTCCAGATGCCCAGGGGATGATGGGTAGAAGTTAGGAAGAGAGGTTCAGGGCAGGAACCCTGGCTGTCTGAGAGTTCTCAAGTATGGAGAAAATGAAAAAGGGTTCATGTTAAATCACTGAAAAGGTGATCTGGGGCTTGTGACCTTAGATCAGTCAGAGATATTTGGCTAAAGAAACTGGTGGGGTTTCAGATGTCGAGTTCGGAGTTAGTAGATGTCACACACATGAACACATGACCTAAGAGCTCTGAGGAGTGGTGAGGACCCTCGGCACTGAAGGATGGCACCCCCTGAGGTATCTGAGAAGATGTGGGAAGGTCAGTGACAGTGACAGAGGACTCGTTTGTATTGTGTGTCTGCTAACGTAAATGCAGTAAATTCACTAAGATTGCGTGATATGTCAGGATGGACGGTGACATTGATTCAGAGTCGAGAGAGCCCTGGGCTTACGTGACAAGCACTAGACTATAGGAAGGACCAGCCACCCAGTGTGTAAGGCGAGGGTGGGGCTTGTACTGCACACCTGGAGTGAGGATGCTAATAACTACCTCACAAGGTCCCCGATAATGTAGTAGGCTCAGAAATAGGAACCTTTAGGTTTGCTTTCCTACTATTCCTCATTGAATATTACCAAGCGCACACACACGCATGTATTTTTTTCTCATTATACCTCCTTGACAAATATACAGCCGCCCTCTGGAGTTCTGTCATAAGAGTGTTGCTTTGTTCTCCTTTGGAGACAAGGTTACCAGCTTTTGATTTAGTCCTTTGTTCTGTTTTGTTTTGACAGGTTCTCTCTGTAAAGTTCAGTTTGGTCTTGAACTAACGTGGCCCAAGCTGACCTCAGACTCAAGATCCTTCTGCTCCAGCTGTAGGAATATTAAGGTTATAGCCATTTCTAGACTGGGCGTTCTACTTATGAGGCTATTTTGGGATAAGATATAATGTCACTTTGGCTGCATGTCACTGTGACAAACACTATAAACAAAAAGCCTCTTAGGGAGGAAAGAGTTGGTGTGGATTCCACTTCTAAGGCACAGCCCATTGCAGAATAGGAGCTAAGCAGGGGCTTGAAGCAGAAAACACGGAGAAGCGCTGTGTGCTAGTGCGCTGTATGCTAGCTCACTCACATGGTTGAGCTCTGCTCAGCTTTCTTATATAGCCCAGGGATGGTGCTGCCTGCAGTGGGCTGGCCCCTGAAGCATCCATTAGCGATCAAGACAGTCCTCCACAGGCATAGCCACAGACCAATCTGACCTCGGTAGTTCCTCAGTTGAGGCTTTTGCAAGTTGACAATTAAAACTAGCTGGGACGCTTGCCTTTTGATGTTGTTTTCAAATATACGAAGCAAATATTCAAGCAGTAGAAATAGTCGTGTTTTTGTTGATGCCTGAATGACTCACTCTAAGTTGGCTCCTAGATGTTCAAGCTCACAGGGCTGTAAGCAGTGTCTCTGAGGGAGGCAGG